GATATAGTGGGGGGGGGGAGGGTGGGTAGGTGTTTGTGTGTATGTGGTTTGGAGAGAGTGTGGGTGGGTGGGTGTATATGTATATGTATGTATTCATATTTATATGTGTGTATGTTAATATATATATATATGTGTGTGTGTGTGTGTGTGTGTTTATATATATATATACGTTTATTTTTATTGATTTATGTTTTTATTTAGTTTTATTTTTATATCAATATTTATATTTTTATGTATCTAAGTATATGATATGCATTTTATTAGGTTACACGAATACTTGTTTGTGTATGACAGGTCGTTGCGCTTGAAAGTTTTATCGTTGTTTTTTGAAATCTGATGTATTCTATATTGAAATGTAGGCGATCGAGTTGATACAGAGTCGGGCCTTATCTGATTTTGTGTCTGCATATAGAAGTATGAGCTTGTATGTACATATTTGATTGATCGGCGAGTCAATATTAGCCTGTAGGCACGGACTTATGTATATGTGTACAACAACGTTGAATAAATATTGTGCATATACATACAAACTTACTTCTTGCTTTCTATCTATCACAGTGTATTTTGGTGGATGAATTTTAAGCATTTTAAACATATCCATAGTTATCATTGCCAAAGGAAACCATAGGTATGCACGCATACTTGACATTTGCTATTGTGCATGTTCGTTGTACTTGTAAGCATTGATGTCACATAGCTCACGTGCGGATGAACTTCCTCATCACTTTGTACTACTATTTATGCAAAATTGTAACCGGAAGGCAGATTGAAAACATGGATCTTTGTTTCGCACTTACTTGGACCACAAGAATTGTAAGGCAATTATGTGCCCATTGCAACCTACTTTTTACAATATTCGATACAACAATTTCTGAATACTGTTCACAGCGAATTAGGTAGATGGCTTGCAGAGACATTGATGCGGATACAATCCTCATGCTTGATGAATTTCAAGAGTTGATTACAAGATGAGAAAGAATGGAATGTTTCATCATACAATTCAAGTGTTGTTTATAAATCAATTGACTTGCCTCTCATTTATTGTAACTTTCAGGAGAAAGGGCACACCGGGCCCGTATGGAAGGTTATGTGGGGGCATCCAGAATTTGGCCAAGTCTTGATATCGTGTTCCTTCGACAGGAGCGTCATCGTTTGGGAAGAAATCGGTAGGCTATGAACCGTAAACGTACCTCCGAGTGAGTGCGGCACACTGCGCGCTGTTTCGTTTGCTACTGTCTTCTGTGGCAGAATAATCCTTACGACATCTCACCATATTTACTTTTTATGTGCACGATTTCACGTGCTGCAGCGTTGCCTGGAAGCAAAATGCAATGGGTAAAGCGCACTGCGCTAGTTGACAGTCGCAACTCTGTGAAGGACATAGACTTCTCCCCCAAAAGCATGGGCTTAAAACTGGCCACCTGTTCTGCAGACGGTGTGATACGAACTTATGAAGCCTTAGACGTGACCAACCTTTCACATTGGTCTCTGATGGTATGGTGCATGTCTGAATTTGATTACTGCTGATTGGTTTGATTCATGCAGAGGTTTTCTCTCCTATCTACAGTCTCACGATTCAATATATCATAAAGCCTGGATTGGGAACCTTCCGGGGCAGATTTAGTAGTTCCATATGGTCAGTCAGATACTTGTGAGTCTGGCTAATTTCAATGGTCTTTATTCAACTACTATAGGAGGAATTCCAATCCAAGGGCTGCTCCTGTTTGTCATGGAACCCTTCTCGTTTTGCCAGACCTATGATTGCTGTTGGCGGGGATGATCCCGATGTCAGTATTTGGATGTATAAAAATGCAAATCAAACATGGATTGAGGAACTGATTCTCAAGGGCCACGAATCATCAATTGAATCGGTAGCTTTTGCTCCCAACATTGGAAGGTATGCACTACGCCCCAATACCTATACACTTATACCTTGGTGAGAACCCTAGATTATCTGATTCACGAGTGTCGCTATCGACTTTTTTGCGTTTTGCAGATCGTATCATCTGCTAGCGTCAGGATCAACGGATAGTACGATTCGGATTTGGCGAATAATTGAGAATCCCGACGCACCGTATGTCTCGCTGAATTTTGTCTACTGTCTTGACCCGTGTGTATAGTTTTAATCAGTTTATTTTTCACTGTAGGTGGTTCGTTTGGGTCTCGATTTTGTTGTTCTTTTGTTCTCAAGCTGCGAGCCTTGAGCTAACCTAGACAGTCTGGTAGCACTGTGTATCAAATCAAGGACGGTTTTGATTAGAACAGAATATACATTTCCGTGCCCCACCATATCATGAGTTTTTCTTTCGAACCTAAGCAGGAAAATTCCGGTAGAGTACGACTCTCGATGTGCTGCGGTACTTACTGATCATGAATCTACAGTGTGGAGGCTACAATGGAATATCACTGGGACGGTTCTAGCGTCTTCGTCCGACGATGGAAAGATCAAATTGTGGCGATGTATGTTGGCTGAGATAACTCAAGCGTGTTTTCTCTTCGTCATCAAAATAGATCGGGCAACCATGATGTTCAATCACTTCCTAACGCTTCTCATTGTAGGTATCGATGACGTCTGGAAGTGTGTTTCGACGATCTCGGACAATATCGTGTCCCAATAGTTCCTGCGAGCGCGAAAAAAGAAATCCTAAACCCCATAATAAGACCAAATTCTGAGGCACTATGTATACATACATTACGGCCAACTACAGCGGCGTACAAACCAAATAGTCGGGTTAGCTATTATGAAAGCGTAATACACATGTTCCGTACGCGACTGATCCCAAGTATGGTGCATCTGCCTGCATAAATAGCGAGACGAAAAATGTTGCATATACAACGTGTGTCGCTGAGGTGCTTAGAGAAAGCTCTCAAAGTCTTGGTACCAATATGTCGATAACACCGGCGACATGCATCAGTGGAAGATATATACTTCAGAGCGGAGTCCGACATCGAGCCAGCCTTTCAGACTCAACCGCTAGTAGAGGGTTTGACCAGAAGTCGTATCAAGACTCCTTTGCTCGTATTAACCCATGACATGGGATGAATAACAAAATCATCCACCTGAGGTACTACATAAACCAAAATGATATAGAAGGACAGAAAATATATCCTTTTAATGTTGTCAGCATACTTTGCCAATTTAAAATCAACTCGTCCTTGAATTTGGTGGTGCAGCGATTACACTTGATTGTGACCTACTACAAGAAGGCTATTCATATTTTATATCTATATTCTATGCTAAAACTTATCAGTTCGTATCTCCTACAAGTCATCCCTGCCAAGCGCAGTGTCATGAGAGTCATATTTGTGCGTTTCCACTTGTCAACTAGACTAGCTACCTATTCTCTGGCAGTCAAGTTTCGCCGCCATGTGCTGTAAAATAAAATAAAACCGGATTGAAAATTGAAGCTCGGAGAGAATATGAACAAGGCATTTAGCACAGTAAAAAGAAATTTGTGTTACCTCAGAAGCACATTCGACTTACCTGCGCCTTCCGAACGTGTAGACGATTCTGCAAAATATTTCTCCTGCCCATAAGAAGGAGTTTGGCCTGCAATCTCGCTTGAGCTGATGCTGCGGGTTTATATACGGTAGACACTCTGCCCAGAGACCATATGTTCAATTGACTTGCCCGAGAAAATTCTCGATGCGATGTCTTACAATCATCAGCACTCCATATCGCGATACGAGCTGCAAAGTCAGAATACGACCCGAAAATTGAGTTCGAATACGACAGAACACGCGAATCTTCGCATGCTCATGCGCACACATCATAAATTTTCGGCAGTAAAAAAATGCTATGAACAGTGTACTTACCTTCGATCGCCAACTCTGCAGCTATACATGCCAGTATACTCGAAACCGGAATGCTGGCGCAATTGGCATTGCTTAGCTCGATCGTCGCATGAGCAAGAGCGTCCAGAGTGTATGTGATGCGGCCCTCGTATTTACATAATAACGCAACAATTGTGCAGTACAAAGCACGCTCCCCTCCAGAACGCATATCTCCGTCGACGACTTGTGCCGATTGCAAATCCATGACCAACTCGCGTAACTCATTCAAGTTTTTAGAACTAGTACTCTTACTCGAAGCGAAGGCTAGGACCGCGCTGCAGGTGGTCATTCCTAACAGCGCCAACCGCCCCGTCACAGGATCATCCGCAACTTTACTACTTTCGTAAATTTCGGTCAAGTTCTGCATCGCCTGAGTATACAACTGCTTAGAACTTTCCTTGATAGATCCATTAGGTAGTTCTTGTTGAATTTTTTCAAATAGATATACCAATCGTGATTGCCGGTATCCGTACTCAACCAACACCAAGGGGTCGCTATACTCGATAGTTCTTGGCAAACTTGAGAAGCCACCTCTCGAATTATCGCTCATGCTCCGAATGAAACCAGTATAATCTTTCAAGTCGGACACGCATCCTGTCGAAACAATATAATCCAGGTACGAAGTGCTTTTAACGCCTCGTTGGAGGCAGTACGAGGCTAGGCCAGGTGCCCACCATCCAGCCGCAAAAATGGAGGTGCATGATGTTCTACCAATGATCAACAATGCGAGCGCCACTCGATCGTATGCATGGATCACGTCGCCTGTAGTAGTACAACCAGTCACGTAAATGCCAGCTTGAGCGGAATTTAGCGACATGAGACATGAAAGCATCAGCTGCGATATGCTAACGGAAGTATCACTGTCAACGCCGTTAGCTTCACAATCAACATCATCGACACTCAGCATTATACAGGACGCGGCTAAACTCGAATACAGCTGAGCCAAAAGAGTGCACAACGATCTGGAAACCTCTGAGCGATTTGCACAGATGCCTTCGATCCAACCCCCATACCGGAGGAAGTGAGATACCTGTCGCAGCATCTGCCACACAAAACTCAAGACGGTATGCACTTTGTCGTCGGGGATATCCCTCGAGAGGGTCGCTAACCCTTGTCGAGATAGCTGAAAGACTTCCGCATATCTGCCTTGATCTAAAGCGGTATCTGCCAGTTTCGCATAAGTTAACGCCTTCGCCAGCTCAGTATCGGTAACATCGGCCTGATGTTCACTATTGAGCAAATTGGTCAACACGAGCAAGCCACCCAACACGCGCACCAGGAGCCAAAGGAAATCTAGCCACATTGTTGTGTATGCATAAAGAGCATGATATTGTTGCTCACTAGCCCAGTCTCCATCTGTCCTTGTGGTACCCATGCTGTCTCCATTGAATGAGTGTAACACGCGCATCTGAGGAGCCGAGGTTCCGGAAGATATCGTATGCGGCTGTGCATATAATTCTCCGGTAGACAGCCATTGTGTTAGAGGATTGAAAATCAGAACGGCGCAGAATAGTGCCATGGATAGCTTCATGCTTGTACCAACTCTCTGTCTTTTCTGTGGTCTCTCATTTTCATCTACACACGTCTGTAGAACAGACGGGGGTACTGGTGCCTGAGCCAATAATAAATCAGACGGCGTAGATGACGCTTGTGATTGTTCAGGCCGTATTGTGGCACCATCGTGTGTCTTAGACGTTGCCTTGCTTTCATCAAGACAACTCGGAGGTGTCTCGGGCGCTTTAGGAAGTGACTTGTGCACGCCTTCTAAGGCGCTGCCAGCCGAGATGTTATATATTATTGGGATTGTGGGTACTATAGAACTGTGCACTGATGGTGCCGGTACTTCACGTGGCTCACTAACTGGATGATCACCGACAAAATGTAACAGTCCATGGTTCTCTAGTACGCTGTGATAAGCGTTAGCGCGCTTTTCACTCGATTTTAGCCTTTCCTCTAACTCAGCAATATACTCTGCTGCCAGCTTCATTATGGTGGCCTTGTTAACCTTAGTATGGCCGCGACAAGCAGGGATAGCATCGCGAAGTGACGACAACTGCCCACTTAACTTATCCCTGTAACGCCGTTCAATGACATTATGTGGCTTTGTCGGCTGGAGCAGGTCAAGCGAGTCGCAAGTAATGAGAAGAAATGTAGAGATAAGGATACGCGTTAGGGATCAAAAAAATATTTAATGCAGGACACACAGCAGAGGCGCAAACGCCCATGGCTAGGTATTGCAACGAATTGAGAATTTAAAAGATATGCCCGGTGCAGTGAACCTTCTCTACCTCGGTACAGTGAAACCAAGTCAAATAGGAAAGTATAACTCAACATTTGAACAGTGTGTCAGCCAACGACCATACCTTACTGAAATCCGTGATCGGTGGTGCTTCTGAAGTACTGGTGGGAAACTGACTCAAAGTCGGGATAAGCCGATTTATCGGGACCTTCGCGTAGCCATTAGGCGCAATTTTTGTCCCTTGAGCTAGAGAACTCATTCTTGAGACATTGTGGTTGTAGACTGCGGCACTGGTAGCGGCCATCAAAGCGGCCTGAGCCTATGACACGCAGATGAAAAACATCAATATTGTAACACACGAATTGATGAGATACGCTCAACAACAACAAAATGCTAAACGTATATAGAAGATATCCGTCACACACCTGTTGCATAGCAGTGGGAGTCGGCACAAACATCGGCTGTGCAAGGTTGAAATATTGTTCGTAGATTGTTGGGTTCAAACCCGGCGGACTCATGAGATTAGCAGTATTATCAGATCCACTGTTATAATCAAGTCTCCCTCCTGAAGCATCACTTCGTGCCGAATCTGATATTATTAATTCGATAGTATAAATAGCTAATACAGTATATACGAAACGCTCAAAGTGCTCTTGCACGGTATATCTAAGCAGAAATTGACTCGTGGGTGGAGTTGTGGGTGGAGACGTTATCCCGCATTTAGTAGGTTTACAATGACATTTCACGCGATCACGCGCAATTGAAAAAGCGTTATTCGGTCTAAAACACATGGTAAGTTGCGCTTACAACCAGGATTCCATACCGATTCTAAGGTATAGATCGAAAGCAAATACCAGGGGCACACTTGCAGCCGGTTCCTATAGGTGCAGATATAACCCTATAGAACTCGCAATGATTTGTGTCTGATAATCTTTACTAGCTTCACCGAAACAGTAGCTAAACAATACCACAAAAAATTCGAACCTCGTCAAATTTTGAAGTTGTTCAAAATCAGACAACTCACCAGGGCTGGAAGGAGACGTCGATCCTGACGCGTATATCGACCCAGAAACAGTACTAGCAAACGACTGTGACATGTCTAAAGCCACGTTGCGTGGTAATTGTGTAGCCTGTACTGGTATATTTTCTGGAAAAACAGACAAGTCCACATCACAATTCAGATTAGGTGGTTCAAAATCTTGTATGAGGTTTAGGAAGTCGTCGTCCAGCCCTAATATATGAGGAGAGGACATTTCATCTTTTAAACTAGTCATCTTCGGTAAAAGGTAGAGTATACTTCGATGTATTGATTCGATCCTACTAAATCCTGACTAACTATAGCGAGGTGGTGTGAAGTTTGCCGCGGAATCGGCGTCACTTTTCAATTATTATACAAAAAAAATTGTCGATTGAGAGCTGTCGTACCTAATTGTCGTACCTAATTGAAAAGGTATGCAAAAGTCAAATGGTGTGTACAACTTCCTGAAGACTAATCAGTTGTTTCGCTCTTGTAGGTGCCGTTGTCTTTGACCCATCGAGAGGTTACCTCGAGCTATTAAAGAAAAAAGGCACAAAAAAAATTCTACATTTTTATATTAAAAATTTATTGCAACAGACTTCGCTGTTCGCTCTCTGTCTCTCTCCCTCTCTCTCTCTCTCACTCTCTCTCTCTCTATTAATATACTATTATATTTATGGAGAACTTGTGAAGTAGTGATGCAATGAACGCTTTTTTGGTTCTTTTTTGTATTTTGGGGATTTTCAACAACAAAAAAACATCATATCCTACTAAATAGACACATAAATCATAGCCTTCTTGTGTATAATTTAGAAGGCTATGCATAAATATATAAGAATAAAAAGGAGATTTGTTACGACTGCGACCACTACGATTGCGACCGGGTCTGGCGACCACTATGACTGCGATTCTCGCCTGCGACAACTCAGACGGCCGCTCTCGCCTGCGACCGATACAAATGTTTTTATTGTCATACCTACGGAGAGAGCTACAGAGTAACAGAGTAAAAAAGATACACCACGCCCCAGTGACCCCACCGGCCACCGTACCCACCCACGGCCTCTGATATATAGGAGGCAATGACTTTTTTTTATATTAAAAAATGATATGTACATTGTACCACTGTTGTGTTGTTGTAAATAAATTTGGTTGTGTTTTCTTATTTATTTATTTTAAAAATCATTAAAGTCACGGGACCTCACGGACCTCGGGCCTCGGATACGTCATCAAATAGGCCCTTAGGCCCGGGCTTAGGGAATATATTACATAAATATATGTATATATATATATATATTATATATATATTGTGATCAGCTCAGGAGGCCCGAACTGAGCTAGGGTATAGGGTTTGGGCCCTGGCGTGCCTCAAAATTTGAGAACACGGAAAATGTGTCACTGTAAAATACAGTGAACATTTTCAGGCCAGGGCTAGTAGTTCACTATCTTAATATTTATTAATTAAAGACATTGACTAACTGGGATTAGGCCAACGTGTTCTCTTCTGGTTGTTTGCTTAGTGTAGTTTAGTCGAATCACAATTAATGAATTGATAGTGACTGCGTTTCCTAGTAAATTATAGTGAGATCGATCGTCATTTGAGGCGTCATTTGAGCGTTTGAGTCAAATTCACATCTAAAGCATAGAAATGGTGAAGCCAGTGGGAGTAGTGCTTACAGGAGGCGAGGCTGACATCCTTTGGCTTTAGAGCGAGCATGTAAATCTCGTCCGAACCAAGGTTGTCTATACGGGGCTTGGCGAAGGTCAAATGGCTGAGAGAGTGCGCATTTTAAAGCAACCTCTCAGCCAGGACTTCTATGCCACCCTCCAGTCGCGGATTCTGCCTGCCATGAGAGCAGATCCGGACTGGTTGGTTGCCTATGTGCGGTTGTATGCTGGCGTTTGGCCGAAATTCGGCAAAGGTTTTGCCTTGAAAAGGGGGCAGCCTTGAAAAGGGGGCAGCCTTTCTGTAAAATTCGGTCTATCAAGGCAACAATAATAACGCCTTAGAGTAATTAAGCGCTTAGGTTAAGTCTAAGTATCGTGGAATTCAAAGTAAATAAACGAAATGAGTCTTTTGGTAAAGTTAGGTATGCCTCGTGAAAACAGCAATACTCTGAGGGATTGTGAGGCTGAGACATTGCCTATA